GTGTAACCGGCCGAGCCTCAGGGATAACTCTTTTCCTCTCAGTTTTAAGGACCGAGGACATAATCACGCCGTGAAGAGCAGAGGAGCCTCCTGGAAGAACCACCCCCCCGCACACCCTCTGTTGTTATGGCAGGGGGAAGGCGGGGCCCTAACCGCACGTCCTACTGCCGAAACCCCCTCTGCGAGCCCGGGGCCGCTGGCGGCTCCGGCCATTCCACGAGTTCCTCGGTCACGGGTGTGCGCTCACGCACCAGGTACGTCCGGTTCTCTGTCTCTCCGGGGCAGGCGTGAGGCGCCTGTGCCTCCCCACCTCGCCCGCTGCTGGGTTTTCCTGTGGCTCGGGGATTCGTCAACCCCCGGTGCCTGGCTGAAATCCTTCTCCTGTACGTGGTGGTGTCCGTGCTCCGCGCTGTAGTAGGGTTCCAGTTTCCTTCAGACCATTAAGTGCTCCGTGGGGCCGTGACAGACTTCCAGGAGTGTTGGAAGTCCGATTCCCACCACCGCCGAGGCGTCCCAGAGAGCCTTGCTCTGCTCTTGCGGGGGCGGCCTCGCATCCTGTGCTCAAGCCCTTTTTGGGAACTCGTATTCCATGTACAGGAGCGGGTCTATCAGCCCTGAGGAGCTGGATCCGTCTTGTCAGCTTGGGAATCTGGGGATTTCAGGGAGACAGCTCAGGTTCCCAAAGTTTTCCTCTCATGCGTGACCTTGTTTTAGGCTGTCAGCCGCCTGTGTCAGAAGGCGTGGACTGATGGCCTGCGCCCACCCCGGGCGAGACATCTTCCTGCAGCCACACTCTGAGATGTCTGTGCCTTTGGGTTGGGATTTTCAGGAATTTGTGCTCTGTAGTTCCCTGGAAACCCCCACGCAGACTCCTTTGGCTGTTGGTATTTAGGGATGAGGAGCGATCTGTCCGGTGTATATTAATTCTTGGGTGGCTGGCTGGATCCTGTGCGTGCTTACACAGGAATTCGCACCCCTGACTAGACTTGTTTTTCCTCCATGAGCTGAAGAATGGGAAAGGGCTCGTGTTTAATTGCTCTGTGTTTCATGTTCGAGCGCTCTTAGAAATGCAAATGGCAACTCGAGGCCTAAAAACTTCCAATTAATTAAGAGGGCCACCGGTTGCCGGTGAATGGCAAAACACAGCCCCAGCTTTTGAACCTGACTGGACACAAGGGATTTAATATCCAGTGACCTGGTGCTGTCAGCTGGCCTGGTTCCAAGTATGGCATTCCCGGGGCAGATTCCTGCTCCCCCCTGCCTGCAGCAGCCCTCCCGGACATCCTGGGGGTGCTGACACCTGCGGTTTGCAGCAGCCGTTGGCCGTGACAGACGGAGGTTTCTCAGTCGGTGTCCGAGCAGCGGCTCCTGCCGTTTGGGGTCTGGGGT